TCATAAGGGACTTTTTACAGCATCAATAATGTAGATTTTTATTTAACAACAAAACATAAGTAAATAGCGCTATTCCACCTAGCCTGCTTTACTGAGGTGAAGATGGTTTTATATTTACATCACATTCGTTTATTTTTGAACAATGACAACCTGTGACGTGTTCCCTATATTGTTTACCATGCTAATCTTAATATTCAGTCTGAAATAGCATGTAAATGAGGCTTAGTAATAAGTGCAATTCCTGCACAGTCAGCCAAGCATACAGTAGTTACTTAAGGACAAAGCATGTGAAAGTCCAGCGATCCTTGCATGCATGAAATATTGCACATTATGACAAGTTTTGCTTGTTACAAAACTGAATTGTAGTATTTTAAAGTACTATAAATGGCAAATGACTTGATCTAGTGGGGAGATCAACTACTGCACCTTTAAACTTTTGCAGTCTGATTAAAGAATAAGTGAAGAAAACATTATTAACAAAATCTGACATTCATTCTGGTTCACTTATCACAGATAATATAGAACATTTCTGAAAGAATAGCACTGGATTGAGAAGAACTGTTCATTGTGGGATACAGTTCTAGCATGCAAAGTTGTCCAGACACAGTGTTGAGCAAGTTAACTGCAAAAAGTAATTAATTACTAACTACTTCAATTATATTTCCGATTAGGGCGTCACAGTGGCGCAGAGGGTAACATAATCGCCTCACAGCAAGAAAATTGCTGGTTCAAGCCTCGGCTGGGCCAGTTGGCATTTCTGTGTGGAGTTTGCATGTTCTCCCTGTATTCGCATGGGTTTCCTCAGAGTGCTTCGGTTTTTCCCACAAGTCCAAAGACAAAGCTCAGTTTAACTCTTTTAGTTCATTAATTTTTTTAAGACAAACATGGCTTTTTAGCTTTATATTTTTTAAAATACTTAATCATTATTTTAATAACACATAATATTATTTATCTGTAAATACATAAATTAATTAATTAATAAATACATAAAATTAATTATATATAAATAAAATCAATTGATACGTAAACATTCATTAATTTTCCTTCGGCTTAGTCCCTTTTTATCAGGGGTTGCCATAGCAGAATGAACCGCCAACTATTCCAGCATCTGTTTTACAAAGCGGTTGCCCTTTTAGCCTCAATCCAGTACTGGGAAACACCCATATACAGTACTTTCGCATTCACACACACACTCATACACAATGGCCAATATAGTTCATCCAATTCATCTATAGCGCATGTCTTTGGACTGTGGGGAAAACCGGAACACTCAGAGGAAACCCACGAGAACACAGTGAGAACATGCAAACTCCACACAGAAATGCCAACTGGCCCTCCCGGGATGTGCTAACCACTGTGCTAATCATACATAAACATTATGCAAACCTCTGTTTTTTACAACAACAACAAAAAATGCATTTACTTTTCTTTTGAATTTATTTAAATGTAAATGTTGAATACATTTGAGTTAATGTAGTATTTAAGGCTAGTATATTGTAATTAATTAAATGACTAAAAAAATTCGCAGTAATCCTTTACTTTTTCAGCATAGATGAATTGAATTACACCCAACACCAACTGAACATATTTGTGAAAACAAATCTGACACAACATCCTATTCACACAACATAAAATCTGCATAAAATTTGCATACTGTATAAAGTGTAGGACACTGTGCATGTTTACCTAGTATAATGGCATGCCCTTCAGAATATATACTATTCTTCTATTGGTCAATTTAAATTAGAGTTAGTACACTACATCACTTGTCAGACCTTTAATGTCCTTACAAAGGTGATTTGAGCATGTTCAGTTGAAAAAAATGAGCACTGACCAATGCAAACATCTAATAAAATCTGAGCAAGTGTCCGTTGTTGTGGGTTGGCATCTTGGTTGTCTCTGCAATGTGAACTGGCCTAACATCTCTATCTATCTATAAACGGAACGAAAGCCTGTATAGAATGGGCTGGTCATGGTCTGTCTGTTGCTCTTTCATGCCGCCTCAGGGGCCCACAGCAGGACGGTCAGCATAAGAGACTTTTCATTGGTCCCCTGGCACTGAAATCGAACCCAATAGTAAAGCCAAGTCTGCGTGACTGACAACTGCTGATTTACGCCCCATTTACGAGCTGTTTAAAGTGACAAAGAGCGTCATCAACTGCATCTCGTTTATGAGATTCAGTCTAAACAAAGCCTTGCGAGTGTTTGAGTGCTGACGCTGTTAACTAAAACACCGAAACGCAATAACAACTGCCTCCGACCTCACTATCATTTAATGGCATTGCCTGTCAGCCCCCTCGTTAAGGAAACAATCAGCTTAATTACTCATGATGCTGGAAGCCTCATCAAACTGATGAAAATGAACCCGCAAACAGCGAGTCCTCTGATCATATGTGTGCCTTTTCTGTTTTCCCTCTTCGCATTCCTCTCATTCTGAGAGATTTCCTCTTGGGAAAACCATCCCCCTTTTTTCCTCAGGAAGAACATCCCTCTGAGTGATAAATGCGGATCCATTATCATAGGCCTGGACGTTTGTTCTTAAGCAGATCTAGTTCACCTCCTTCTAAATTTAGCCCCATAAATAAGAAATATTTCATCTTCAACCAACAGGTGGCACACCTCAAGATCTGAGCGATCCGCCTCTGAAACCAGGTAGATGTTATGGGATATCAGAGTTGATATGAAAGCACTTGTAGAGGGTTTTCATTTCATCTGGTTTTCTGTTATACAAATCAATGGCGTAATCCAGCTTTTTCTCATTCAAGTCAATAGAGGCTGTGCAATATGACGATATATATCATATGGAGCAAAATCAAAAGTCTGTCATATTGTGCTCTATCATTTATTTTGTAGTGTCATAAAATACATTGTCTACAGCAATGCTTTTCATAATTTATATAAGTGCAATATTTCACACCATTACCAGGATGCTGACAGAAACATGAATAACAGCATTGAAGAAAGTTACAATGTTTACATTTTGCAATTCATTAACGAGGGTGCGAATTACAGGGGGGTTTGGCGGGGATTGACCACCCTAATTAACGCTTGATCCCCTCTGACGGACATCAAATCAAAATGTATGGGGGGGTGGGGGCTCAGTTCTTTAATAGTAAGAAATAGCTTTCTCTGATCTCTGATTTATATCCTAAATCTTAATAATTAAAAATGTATGATATAAACATACATCTGATCCCCCTATGACAGTTCATACCATTGGGAATGAATAATCGCACCAATCAATGCTAGGAAAAATATGATTCAACAGTCTGAATCTGGCAGTTTTAGAGCACTGAAAGACATCTTAAGTATTCACAAAACACTTTTTTTTTTGTAAAAATATCTGCATGCAGCCTAAAAACAAGAAAATGTAGACACATAATTTGTATAGTTTGGCTGAGAGTAAAATCTAAAATAGTCACTAAATATCCCTCAAAACACTAGAATGTATACATTTTATTTATAAATGTGTTGTAATTTAAATACAGTCATAAATTTGATTCACTGAGCATGTATTACCTCCACCCCCCCCCCCTTTCGTCAACGTATAATTCGCACCCTGCCTGTAATCATTAATTTTTGAAGTGTTTTATATTGAATTCAGATATATTTTCAATTTCTCTCAATTGCTCTGAAGTTAACAAATATGATCACATAAATGAGGACATCTGTCTGACATACTGTCTTTCAAAGTATATACTGAAAGTGTACTATATTGTGATATATAGATATATATATATACAGTTGAAGTTAGAATTATTAGCCCCCCTTTTTATTTATTTATTTTTTTAATATTTCCAAAATTATGTTTAACAGAGCAAGGAAATTTTCACAGTATGTCTAAAAATATTTTTCCTTATGGAGAAAGACTTATTTGTTTTATTTCGCCTATTTAGACCTTTTTAATTTTTTTAAAAACATTTTAAGGTAATATTATTAATATTATTAGCCCATTTAAGCTATATTTTTTAGATGGTCTAAAGAACAAACCATCGCTATACAAAAACTTGCCTAATTACCCTGACCTGCCTAATTAACCCAATTAAATTAGTTAAGCCTTTACAAGACACTTTAAGCTGTATTTAAGTGTCTTGAAAAATATCAAATAAATATTATTTAGTCATTATGGCAAAGATAAAAATAAATAAATCAGTTATTAGAAATGAATTATTAAAGCTATTATATTTAAAAATGTGCTAAAAAAAACTTCTCTCCCTTAAACAGAAATTGGTGAAAAAAATGAAACGGGGTGGGGGCTAATAATTCTGACTTCAACTGTATTTATTATTATCAGGATATTAGATAACTTATATTGTGGTATATTTTGTAAATCACCCGACCCTATAGAGCAGAGATGCCCAAACTTGGGCCCGCGGGCCAAAGTTGGCCCATTGTAACTTTTGATTTGGCCCACCATTTTATCTGAGAAGAGAATGAGTATAGTAGGAAAAGGAAGGGCAAATGCCTTTAACAGAGATAGTAATTTCTAATTTAATGCCACCTGTTTTGTTTGGTTGTTTCATTGTTAAGCTACATAAAAAGCAAACTAAAATAAAATGTTTTGATTAAATGTTGTGGGTGATCTGATTTTTAAAAATAAACTATGACTCGACATATAGAAGACTTCACAGAAGACATCAGTGAGGAAATCAAGACAAAAACAGTTTGCAGCTTGACTAGTGTAACTCAATTCTGTTATAAATGGATTTTTTACTGTAATATGTTTATTATAAAATAAAAATATATTCTGCATTAGTTAATATAAAGCATTGTTTTCTGGTTATTTTTATATATAAAACACATTAGAAAATTACCCATGGTGACTTCGACCAACCTCAAACAAGTTTGGTTTTTGGCCCTTCATAAGAAAAAGTTTGTGCACCCTTGCTATAGAGGCTGTGTATGCATGCCAATAAAACACAATCAGACTTGTTCCACAAAGGACTTTTGTAATGACATATATGATAGATCCACCAGGACTGAAAGTTTGTGATACATACTTGCATTCCCGGCTTTCCAGGTCAAAATGCGGATTGAAGTTGATGAGGATCTTCTGCTGTGGATCAGGAGCCTGGATCAGCCATGTGCACTGCTTGTTCACTGGGTATCCAGTCGGGTAATCGGGAGAGGTCACATACCCGGCACTGGTGATTGTGATTTTCCCACCGCAGGGACGATCTGAAAACCAGAGTGCCACATTTATTGTTTAACAACTGAAACTCAGTGTGTCACACGTATCAGTGTAGTTTTAGTACAGATCATTTCTCAATACTGGGTTGCAGCTGGAACGGCATCCGCTGTGTAAAACATATGCTGGATAACTTGGCGGATCATTCCGCTGTGGCGACCCCTGATGAATAAAAGGACTAAGCTGAAGGAAAATGAATAAATGACTGAATGAACAAACTACACAAAGGTTTCTTGAAACCCATATTGTCACACAGTGTGCCCTGATAATCTTACACGCTGTTTGACAATCGATCGGATCAGAAGATCGATTGAGCACGGTGAAATCGATTAATGTATCTGAGCTGAACACTACAGGCAGGCTGTGGACTTATAAGGGTCACTGCATGGGTGTGCAGACTTGGTTGGCAGATATGCCACTGTGCTTGGGTGTTTGAGTCTGATAACACACACCCAAACAACACTCTCTCTCTCTCTTTCTCTCTCACTCTCACACACACACACTCTCTCTCTCACGCACACACAATATACGGAGTATGTTTTGTCTAAAAATGTACAAAATTAATAGATGAATGAATGTTCTTACAGTATGGTTGTTACCTTTACTAATATAAATATCAACTGAAATAAAATACAAAGGCTAAACTCTCAAATTAAAATGAAATAAAAAAATCAATAATAAAAGAATAACAAAGAATAATAATCAAAGCAAAAAATAAACAAAAATAATAAACCCCAACAAGAGGTGATATCTATCTATCTATCTATCTATCTATCTATCTATCTATCTATCTATCTATCTATCTATCTATCTATCTATCTATCTATCTATCTATCTATCTATGGTGATATCTCTACAGAAACATTGGTATTTCGTGAAACAAACCTCAACCTAAAATAATTTTATTCAAATAATTGTACCAATATCATCAAATCAACCTGACCAATAGCTGATTTTGTACTAAACCAACGGAGTTTTAAGGAACAGACCAAAAAGCCTAATGTCATTGTCCATATGACAAACTGTTTTATTTTCTACGTTTTACTGTACTAATAATCTGATGCGAACTTACTGAAATAAATAAATTAAACCTCTCCCCTCATCAGTTACGCTTTCTACCTTTACCTTCAAAAACAGCAGCCCTACAGGTGAGCATCAAACGGCAGTAACAATCTGCATAACAGAGGTCTCCGGTGCGCGGTGAAGCCGAGAACACCGAAAACACACCACCACAATGACCAACTCACCCGTCAGAGCGCGAGCCACGGACAATCCCGTTAGAGTCACACAGAGCAAACACCAGTACATCCTCAAACGAAATCTCTTCAGATATATCCTCAGCAATTAGTGTGAATAATTATTGTTGAATCCTGTAGTTTTGGGAAGCTGTGGAAAGATCCTGTCACTCAGAGCCAGGGAGCCGCGGTCTCCTCTTCCATTACGCGAAGATGAAAACTCACAACCCTGGAAAGCGGGAGATTCTCGTAGAGTCACCGCCACTGCTGTGTTTGCTTCAATTTCATAATCCGAAGTGTTGGAGATGCTTGACAGCGCGTCCTGGGCTCAGCTCGCTGTCTGCGGGCGCTTCAGCAGTCGGGTCACTCCCTAATATATGACTGATTTCCGTCCTCTGTGTCGCGCGTACACGGGCACTGCTGGGTATATTTAGCAGGTTCTCACTAGTGCGAAGGTGTCAGCATCCGATATGAAGACTGAGGGTGTCAAAACTCTCGGCAGCACTGGTTGCTCCCGTTCCTCCTCCTTGAGAGAAAATGGGCAGGACTGGAAACGAGCAAACCCTCTCACCCCTTCCAGGCAGAGACCGACGCGCTGTCTCTCTCTGCCAACCAGACACGGAGACCGGGGGCCAAACCAGAGAGACTTCGCGCTCCTCTGCGTGGGAGCCCAGTGCAGAGAAATGAGGGGTTTGGCACCCCCAATTAACGTGACAACCTAATAAGAAGTCAATAAAAAAGTTGAGGTATGTTTGTTTACGCATCTTTTGTATATGTTAATAATTGCATTTTCAAATAAGGTTTCAGTAAACACTAACATTACAAGTTAGATATTTCACTCTAAGTCAGAATGTGAATGGGGGGAGGGGGGGGGGGGGTCTGACCCCCTAAGTAATGCTTGATCCTCCCTGGCAAACATCAAAACAAGATATATGGGGGTGAAGGAAGGGGTATGTCCTCTAATAGTTAAAAATAGTTTGCTCTGATCTAATAATATTAATAATTATTCTTCCAGCTGCAACCTATCATTGGGAAACATCCATACACTCTCATTCACACACATACACTACTGTCAGTTGAGCTTACCCAATTCACATAGTAAAATAAAATAAAAAATATGTGCAGTCTTAATCCATTAATAGGTGCAGGAAAGCAAGCATGTCCCTGTTGAGTTAATATCACACATGTCATTGAGAACCACTTAGTATCCCTTAAAACACTGAATACATAATAACAAGTTTGATTAATAAATTAGATGTAATTGAATTAATATAAACATTTGGCTCACTAAGGCATATCACCAAACATAACCGAAAAACTTGACCCCCTGCTCAAAGTCAAATATTAACCACAGAAACAGTACCAGCGAATATTCATTTAAGAATGATTAATCGCTAAAACACACGTTATCTACATTAGAATAGGCTATTAGTCTACATATTTCAGAAGAAATAAGAAAACAAAGATTAATTTAATCAAATTTAATTGCAACCAAATTCACTTACAGAAATGCACTTCGCCCCTTTGTAGGGTAATTCCTATAGGATATAGGTTCAAAACCCCCGCTGCAAGACTAACTATGCCTTATACTGTATTTAATTTATTTTAAAAAACATAAAGGTTATAAACTATTTAATGTGGTTAACAAGTAAGGAGAAAACAAGTTCGTTTTCCCGCCCTTACCAAAGCAACTGTATGCTTCCTGATCGATGTTTATTTTAATCAGAGTGAAAATGCACAATAGGGTATTGCACAGGTGTGATTTTGTTGAGTAACACTCATGTACACAACATCAAAAGACATTAATATTAGGTTACATTTAGGCTGTGATGTCAGGAGACCAAAATCCAATGTCTAGCCAAGATCTTAAAAAGACGTCATAATGACATTAAATACTGACATTTATTTGTCAGGTACGGCAAACAAAATCCAATGTCTCCTAGACGTCATAGAGGTAACATCTACACATCTGTCAGTATGTCTATCTATCTATCTGTCTAATTAACATTTGCTTATATTGTAGAAAACGGTAACGCAGTGGCGCAATTGGTAGTGCTGTTGCCTCACAGCAAGAAAATTGCTGGTTCGAGCCTCGGCTATGTCAGTTGGCTTTTCTGTGTGGAGTTTGCATGTTCTCCCTGCGTTCGCTTCGTTTTCCTCCGGGTGCTCCGGTTTCCCCCACAGTCCAAAGACATGTGGTATAGGTGAATTGGGTAGGCTAAACTGTCCGTAGTGTATGAGCGTAAATGAGTGTGTATGGATGTTTCCCAGACATGGGTTGCAGCTGGAAGGGCATCCGGTGCGTAAAACATGTGCTGGATAAGTTGGCGTTTCATTCCGCTGTGGTGACCCCGGATTAATAAACGGACTAAGCTGAAAGGAAATGAATGAATGACTGAATGAATTGTAGAAAACTTTTCAAGAAAATAACAACTCAAAAAAACTAATTATTATTATTTATTTTATTTATTTTTGCTGTGATTGGATTATTCCACTAATTTATGGCACTCCTTAACTATTTTAAAGTTAAAATATTGGGATTGTCTTTTGTAAAAATGAATAGGTTTAATTATTTATTAAATAAGCAATTTTTTTCTAAATGACTATGAATTATAATGCATATTAAAGTTAACCAAGAGAAAAGTCATTGGTTTTTAACAAAACAAGAAATTTTAGAAATAAAACCTGTTATTTACCCTGTTTTTTACCAAACATGACCAATGAAAACATTTGTGTTTTATTTATTAAACTTAATGCTTTCTGTAAGACTTATGTGTGGAACTCATTTCGCATAATGTGTCTGTGCACATCGCAATAAGGATTAGGAGCGCCCGCCAACTCCAGGAATCTGTTTCTCTGGCTGGTGACACAGTGACATAAAAATGTGTAGCACGTAGTCACTTTCAAGCTCAGAGCGCAGCAGAGCAGCCAGCGCTGCAATCTGATCATCCACTGGGAGAGGGAGCGAAAGAGAGAGAAAGAGAGAGAGAGAAAGAGAGAGAGAGAGAGGCAAAACATTTTTTTCAGTACAGTCTGTTCACAGAGGTATGGATATATGGCTATTAAAGAGTTCAGAGAGTGGCACTGACCCTAATCTCAGTACTAATCCACTACCATTTAAAGGAATATTTCATCCAATAATGAAAGTTTTGTCTTTGTAAAGGGGCAGTCTTATGCCATCTCAAATCCATTTGCAACACAAAAGGAGATTTACAGAAGAATATTCACACTGCTCTATTCTAAAAAGTCCTCCTATGACTTGTCATCTAAAATCTCATGATTGTGTGATTATACATCAAAACCGACAGCATCTCCATGCGTTCGCGCAGCTCTCGTAATCAGTTGTGACGTTTGGCCAAACATCTGCTCTTGTGTTTCTCAAAAGAAAGTAATTAAGTCATATGGGTTTGGAATAATGCGAGGATGAGAAAATGATGATAGAATATTCGTTCCCTCATTATCCAGTGGCAGACGCTGATTGTTATAAGCTCTTGGTGATAATGAATCAAATAATTCTCTGAGATAACTGAACAGTTAATAAAAGACATGCCTCTGAAGTCACGGCGCAAATGCAATTAACCAATCAGAAGCCTCTTAAGTGCATGTCTTTATAATATAGAACCATGGTTCAGTGAAGGAAATAATGTAGCAATATAAATACAACGAACAGCTAATTGCTGTATAAAAAATGATGTGATCCTTTAATTATGATAGTTTACTTACCCTAATATTGTTCCAAATCTGCATGCATTTTGCCTTCTGTGTAAAAATATTGTACAGTTAATGTTTTAAATACACATTAATAAAAAACATAAAAATATGAAATGCATTTTAAAATATAAAAAAAATAAGGGTGTGATTGAAACTCTTTTGGGTTTCATTGCATGAATTGTTTTTGTTTTAAAGGGCACCTATTTTACCCCTTTTTCAAGATTTAAGATAAGTCTCTTGTGTGTCCAGAATGTGTCTGTAGAGTTTCAGCTCAAAACACCCATCAGATTATCGATTATACCTTTCAGAACTTTAGAATGTTCTACTCTGATTCAACGCAAACTCATGGCAATTCGTAACATTTTGATTTAGATGAATTCTTATTAATTCATACAATCTAATTTGTACAACTTAGTACGATTTGCTCATCACCCAATAACAGATGGGGTTAGGGGTGGTAATGGCTTTGATGGGGTAAGGGCTTTTTCGTATCTCAAATGTCTCTTGCGAGTGCCGTTCGAGCCGGCGCTGTTCACCCATGAGTGGCCGCTGTCTGACTGACTGAATGATTGACCCGCCCGCCCTCTCACTTCCCTAAACCCAACTGACAATTTACAAAAGCTGTCCAGAAAAAAAAAAAAGCCCTCGTCTGATTTTTTTTTACCACGTTTTCGGATTTTACCACATTCTCACCCTGTTATGAACTCGTTTACTTTATTTTTTGGATTCAGTTTTTGTCTTACCGGATTTCTGGAACCGCTCTTCCCCGGACTCGACCCCGGTCGTCGTGATCAACTCCTCTCTGCATCTCAAGCCTGCCGATGTACACGATGAGCTGCCTGGACAAACTGGTTGTAGCGGGAAAGCCCTCCACACGGATGTAAGCGGTCACCCAATAAGTGCAAAAGGGAACGGCGTCATACCGCCCCGTAGCGTTCGCTTAAAAAAATTAAATGCAGCCATACTGTACGTACCTCCCGGGACGTATTTCACGGTCTCCAGAAACGTCCACAGGACTAGGTTTTTAGAATAAGCCTGGGTTCTGTTTTAACATCAGGAATTTTTTTTTTAAGGGAGTTACTGTCTTTATATCACACCAACATGACTGTGGACACTATAACTACGCAGAGTTTTGTCCAAACTGCTTAAAAAAGATGATTTTCATCAGCTGCGCTTTAATATCCACAGTTGAAAGTCAAACAGATTTGGAAAAATGGGAGAGTTATACATGAAATCTGAAAAATCTCAGAAGGGGGTTTTTCATAGTGATTCCACAAAATAGACATTTTTCCTCTTCTAAAAACTACAGTATAATCTAAAAGAAAACTCTTTTGAGCTATAGAAGGTGTCCTATCATACGTTTTTCCATCCTCCCCAAATTGCTCTCATAACACTTTTCATCACCCAGACAATTCCCTTGTCCATTAAAAAATCCACCTAAAAAGCTCTATTGATGTTAAAGGGGCTCTATTTTATTTTAATGCGTCTCTACTGTGCATAAGGCCCTGTTTTCACCTGGTATTAACATGAATTTTCAGTGATCCGAACACAATCGGTCAGCCAAGACGCATTAGTTTCCACCTGGTATTAGCATGCATTTAAATGAATCTCCTGTGAGCACTTGTGTGTGGATTTTGTCGAGACCCTTTCACTACATTTCCGTCACTTTTACAGAAATATTCTGATTCCAGAGAGCATTCGATTAGACAGAAATTTGATGAGAAACTAAGGTGCAGAGTGATACAATGAAATGACTGATCTATACTGG